TAGACATCCTCCCAAATGATCAACATAATTATAACTCCTCAAAGCCTTGTTCCCTCCAGGCAACCAATGCCAGACCCTAAGCCTCTTCCCTTACCACTCCAACACCACTATCCTCCCTCTTACTAAGTCTTTTGGCCATGCAACCCAATTCCTAAAGCGTTGTGCAAACGTTGGCTGGGACCGCTGGTAATTATGCAGCTCTCTCTGTTGTGACGGCATCAGGCCTGGCCCTTTCACGCAGCTTCTGTAATGGTTTATAGATGGCACACATGGCATCAGGCCCCATCCCTTCCTGCAACAACAGGCTATATCAGGTTACCCTATGCCAAGCTTCCATCCCTTTGGTAATAATAGACAATGGCAAATTTCAAAGCATGGCCACTGCTCACCCCAACCTAAGCACTAAGGTGAGGGGCTCCCACTGCAAACCTGCCCTTTGCTGAGCAGTCAGGAAACAAAAGGGATTCTTTTTTCCCTTGCTACATCTCAGATGCTCTAAAAAAACTTAAAAATTGCAGGAAAACTTCTGCCAGTCTTCAAAAAATTCCTGATGTGCTTTCAGACACATTACAGAAATATCAGTATCTCTCACTTCTATTTTGACATGTGCTAAGAGGCTTACGGACAGGAAGCTCTGTGGTTATTTTATACACTCTATTCTCACCATTTCATCTCAGCCAACTCATTCCAGCTCCAGCACCCCTGCATTTAACTATTTCCAGCATAAATTTCTCAGTGAAGCAGCAAACTAGGAAAACACCTCTGCAAAAAGGAGTAGCACGTGGAAAATCCAGTCAATAACTTTGCAAGAAATACAACACAAGTTATTTGTGACAATGAACACAGCAGAGGGGGGAAAAAGGTATGTCAAAAGCAGGAAACAGGTTTTAAATTTGCTCTAGTGGGAGGGAGGAGTGCTGAATCAAGCCTTGTAAATCTGTCGGTGTGTTTCCCCATAAAATGTCCTTTCTCACAGACTAAAACATCTCTGTGTTTTCTGTGGTTCTCTTGCCTGCTACAGAAGGGGGTACACAGGTCTCGTGCACTTTCTGCCCGAACAGTTTCACTACTCCTGGCTTTGAGAAAACTACACATCACCTTATGCAAATTCAGGTGCTGAAGGAGAAGGATGGGATTAGGATATAACAACCCTCTTCTGCTATTGATCAACAATGACATTAAGAGACAACCCTGGCACACTCTAAAAAAAATTTCCAAAATAGCAGAGATAAATATCCCACTTTTCTAACAGCAACCATGTGGTGATTCCTGGATTTGTTCACGTGCTTCATATCACGTTTATGAGTTTTACATATGCATAGAGGTTATGCTGTATCTAGATATCAAGGCAAGGCTTGGTTAATCAGCTGTGGCAAGCAGGAAGCTTTTTAGATAAGTGCCATTAGGAACTGGACAACCTCAAATTTCATTAAAAATACATGTGCATTCTGTCCCCTGTGACAAGCACTAACATGAATTATGTCTAGTCCATGCAGCCAGGTTCCCTCTGCCTGAAGAAGAAGCTGTTGGGTTTTTTCCAGCTACCAAAGAGCAGCACTTTTCCACTGTTGCTTAGGCAGGCACACAACCAACTTCTCAACAAATGCTTGGAGCAGTAGCTAGTCAAAAAGGCTGGTGTGGAAAGAGGTAGAGAGACTCGGGAAGAGAGCTGCAGACACTCCCCAAACTTTCTTTCTTACAAATACATTCAGTATCCCACAGACGAGAGGCAGGAGAAAGCTTTCTCTTTCCTTCCTGCATTTCTAAGGGGCTTATTTCAAAACTAGACTTTAACTGGGACTGAGACTGGTTCCCAAATTCTTCTTCCCCTTCCCTCCAGTTTGCACCAGTTTCTTACTCCAGCCTCATTTATTTCCTCATTTTCAGTCCTTGTTCGGCTACAGTTAGCGTTTCAGCTCTGAGGTTACCACGAGCAGCACAGAATTCAGGAAGCAGCACTTGTATTTCGTGTCCACCTCTCACACGCAGCCTTTGACAGCAGACACACCTGCAGAGAAGCACTGCAGAGAGATCAGCCCAGATCACAGCATAGGACCAGGTGTGCCTCATCCTTACCTTCCCATTACAGGCACAGAAGAAACAGACTGGTAAAAGCAGAAGACATTAGTAGCACAGAGTAGAGAGAGCCTCCAGGGAGGAGCTGAGCAGATGGCTTTCTGCAGAATTACCTCCTGTACCTGCATGCATGTATTTGGCTCCTGAGGGAATGCCATCAGCTTTCAAAAGAACAGCCTTGTTCAGCCTGGTGCCCTTTTGTCCCTACAGTATCTCTGTCCTTTTCAAATCACATTGAGGGCAGGAGCCTGCAGACTAGGGTTCCAGTGCAGTACTTAAGTTTTGTAAATGAGACCAGGTCTTCTGAAATTGATATCTTCCTGGCCCATACTATTAATTTGCATAAACATATAGCTGCAAAAATTAACCATATGTAATTGACATTTTGCCTTATTAAAGACCTCACACATATGCTTTATAACACAATTGAAATAATGTCCTTGAAAAGCTACAGAGTTATCAATATTAGCTGTATTCTGCAGGGTTTCTTTATCCTATTATACAGCACTTGTTCTTTTACAAAATTAAATTGATGTCAAGTAGCTATTCTGTAACACTATAGAGACTGCCAAAAAATAGTGGTGGGACAAATGACCTTGAGCTAGCCTTTGTCTACTTGGCTGGGGTTCTTGTAAGAGCTAATCACTTACGCTTTTACATACAGCTTGGGTACTTTATGCTTAAAGGGTCTACAAAAAGACACAGTGCCAATATAAATTTATTAAACATGTATATGAGGTTTGTCCAAGCTGTATGGAAGATTTACATAAGCTCTATTAACCATGATTTTAAATCAGTACCATCTTGAAAATTCTAAAACATTTTCATTTCATTTTCCCCTCACATGAGCACATCTTACTAAATTGCAAGGCATCAGTACAAACCAGGCACAGGGATATTTTGTATTATTCTCTATTTCTGAATAAACTAATGAAATTCAGTGCTCTTCTGATTGTGAAAACGTGGACTATGGAACTCCTTGAATTTTATTACTGCTCGTTCAGGCATTGATTACCTGAAATCTCTCCCAGTACAATTCCTACATCTAGTAAAACTTTATTACCCATCAAATGTTTATAGATCCATACAGACAGTTGGGCTATGGAAAGCATCACAGTTACTGCACTCATAACTTTTAAGTACCTACCACCATCTAGAGGAAAGACATTGTACTGCTTAAAACACAGCAGTAGAAAAATCAACTTCAGTGCTATTCAAATAAGCAGCTATCAAAGAAAACACATGGCCCTTAATATCTATCCAACTATGTGTCCTGTGCTGTTCCACCCCCAACCCCCCCACAGGCTGAAGAGAAAGACTGTCTTTCAGGTCCAGCAGCTACCACAATTGGGCTTTCATCTCACACAGGAAAAAAAAAGATTTCCTATTAAATTTAAATAAATAAAAAAATCAGTAGCTAACTGAATAGCATTGAATATTATGAGATCACAGCGATAATTTTTTTCCTTGTTTATAAGGCTCCTGGGCTAGTGTCAGCAATAGCTACCCTGACTTCTACTTATGTACAGCTTGTACAGCCAAGATGCAATGTCCGGTCAGCTGGGCTGAAGAGGAAGCAGAAGCAGATCATGACCCCCCAGGCTGCTGCCTGTGCCAACTTCAGGAGCAATCCAGTGCTGTCCCACCTGCTCCCACAGTCATCCCCCAGTACAAACGCCAGAGGGATGGCAGCAACAAGAATTCCATTTCCTCTCGCTCTTCAAGTCTCAGAGGAACAGGCTGGCAAAACAGAAGTGTCACCAGTGTTCAGCTAGTTTGTGTGAACCCACCCATAAAAAGCAAATCTAAAGAAAGAGATATGGAGAAACACCAAATCCTACACAAGTACACAAATGTCTTTCATGTTTGGCGCACAGGAACAAATTAAAACTCAGACTTTTAAATAATTTTTTAAAAACCCAACCCAAACCTGCATATTTTCATTATTTATACCCTTTTCTATTTTAATTCTCTGCTTATTTCCTTGGGAAATGACAGCAGATCATTTGGTTTCATATGCAGGTCATAGCAACAGCTCAAAATGCAAACTTCCAGAGCAGCCTCTCTCGCTTAAAAAGTGAACTAAGCACAAGTAAAACTCATAGAATAATTTATGTGGAAAAGAAAAAGAAAAAAGTGAAAGTAAACAGAAGAGCTCAAGGGCAAGTGCTAGGTCAGATTACAATGAGTGCATAGATTTTATGACCAAAAAAATATCCAGAAGTGAATAGCAGCTATCAACCACAGCACCCCAAAACCACCTCGTGCCAGGGCGCAAACAAGACACTCTCCACTCGAGTCCTCTATAAAGGAAGTTTATGTTTCTGATGGAGTAGTCTGAATAGTCCTACATTGTTCTTCTGCCTACTGTGCTTCAAAAACCCAGTATGGAAGAGTCTGACACTAGCTCACAGAGGGACTGCATTTCCCCTGCCACTCACCTACCAGCTACTCAATCTGAACTTTTATGCATCACTGAAAACTCAGAGAACAGAGTTTTGCTATCCATGAGTGCTTGTTTAGTTGAGTTTTTTTATTCAGCCCTTCCCCCCCAGCCCTCAAACAGAGATCTGAGCAGACATGGATCTCTAACCTTCGTCCATGTCAGTACACCAGGCAAACAAAACTGTTCTTTGGAAACTCAGGCTGGATATATCAAGACCCTGTTTGGACAGATTCTTGGCTAGATCCACACAGAAGGACAAAAATAAAACAAAACCAAAACAGAACAGGCCCTATAAAGTACAAAGATGTGATGTGATGATTTTATTTTTTTAATACAAATTTCTACTTCTCAGAGATCTAAAAACCTGGTTACGTAATTTTTCTAACTCTCAAACGGTTGGAAGGAGCCACTCTCCTGATATTCAACTCTTCTACCATATAGCTCCAATAAGGAACAGGATCTTCTGTGATGAACTCAAGCAGGAAGAAGCTCCTTTTTGTTCAAATTATATGTAATACACAAAAAAAATCTTTTCCCAAAAACTTTAACATGCTTGGAAAAACAGTAGGAAAATTCTCTTTCTAAAGAATCAGGACTTGAAGGAAGTGTTGTCCAGCAAGAAAAGAAATACTGTGTGTTAGAAAATGTAGCCATTACATCCAAATATAAATACAGAACAATTTTTAGCATTACTGAATACTGAAACAACCCCCTATCTTCCATTCCTCACCACAAAAAGAAGGAAAAAAAAAAGCAAGCTGTTCTCTTTGAAATACAAATACGTTGCTTTTATGACTGATTATCTCAGGTTTTACAGCATGGCTGTCTGGAAAACCTTCTGATAAGAAGCAATCACCACTTTGCACACAGAAAACACCAGGACTAGGGAGAAGGAAGACTTCTGAAAGGAGCAGAGGAACGGCAGGACAAAGACAGTGAGAGAGAAAAAACCCACCAGCATTTCTGCTGATGCTTCCCATTTTGTGTGCATAAGCATAACGGCCTCTCCTAAGCCACCCAGCTGTTAACACTCACAGCTGGTCCTTCTGGCCCTGGGGAGCCAGGTCCCTGCTCCCGAGAAGCCACAGCTCCAAGAGGAGCCAGCAGCGGTTTCGGGGGGCTGGAGGGAAGGGCAAAGCAGGGCAGGGGCACACATACCCTGACACCTGTGGAGAGGGAAGGGGGCAGTGCCAGCCACCCCCTCACACCTGTGCCTCAACTCTACAGCCCTGGCTCTGAGCAGGCAAACATGAGCGTTTTCTCATCTTGCAAACAACAGTGTATGTCTTACAGACTACACCAGTGAGTGGATTAAGGACAAAAAGGCAGGGAGGAGGCTCCTGGCTGCCTAACAGGTTCCTCACCAGCCCGTGCCAAGGACATAGGTGAGACAGGGCAGGGGAGGCATCTGTCTGGGTTAGAGATCTTTAGCTGAATCTGTTCACACGTGCGATTTGAGATGAGAACAGTGGCCCTGTACAGGTGCTGGGTCATTGCTAGTGGCCCTTGACAGTCAGCCCCCGCTCCCACATTCCCACTACCCCTGCGTCCTGCCTCCCCATGGCTTTTCACCCCCAGCCTGTCCTGGGAGTGAACTCTCCTGCAGGCTTGCAGTCTGTATGCGAACAAGACAGGTTTAAAAGTATCCCTTCACCATTTTGCTCAAAATCAGGAAGATTTGAATTAAAGCCCACAAATAGAATGTCTCAAATCTAAGACTAAGGAATACCAACTGACCTATCAAATGGCCTCTGTCTCTATGCGGATGATAAAATCAGTAAATATGAATGCAAGTTAATAGGGTCAGAGACTCTTGTAGCCACTGAAAAAAACGTTTTGAAGAAATACTAAGCATTTTTATGGAGAGAGTTTCAACAACAAACTGTTTCAAACACCTTTGCACGTTCTGAAGACCTTTTTCCTTTTCCTACCCAAAAGTTTTTTCAATAATACACAAATTACATTTTACTACTGAGTTCAGTCCCAAGCTGAAGCAATATGCACTACTACATTGACTCGAGACAGAAACTCCTCCTCCCCTCTGCTACTCCCCATTTTGGGAGGGGGGGGAAAGCAAGGCGGCCTGTATTTTAATGAACATACTCAGAAGGAAAAATGAAAACTAAGCAGAAAAAGCTCTGTTGATCTGTTGAGCCCACACCAATGTATACCTGACTCTGCAGCACACATGGCTGAGCAGCTTATAGTGGAAACTCTTCTTTTTTGCCCACTTACCACAAAATAGTGCCTTCATCTAAAACAAAAAGTCCTGGATCCCTGCAGTGTAATTTGTGGGTTTTATATACATACACATTTTAACAGAGCCCACAGGATAACTGATCATAATTTCCATGGGTTCCATAATTTTTCTAGGATGGCTGAATGGTACTGTCTATCCAAGCTATTACTGTTTAAGCATTAGCTTCATGGACAGTGATAATAAATGAGACATCTGATGCAGGCAGCATTTGAATTTCAAAACACAGCAGCTTTCACTTTGCTGTGCCCTCCTGATGGCTAGATCTGGGATGGACACTTGGCAAATACCAAATGTCACAAAAGACTAAGAGAAAGATTAAAAATTACCAGCCGTTCCATCTCCTGCTCCCGAAGTCGCTCTTCCCTCTGCCTCCTGTGATAGTCCATGAGGTCTTCTCTTCCTGAAATCGAGCTAATGCTGTTCTTCCGCTCTCGCATGGATGTTTGCAGAGAATTTGGTGTTTGTCTGTAACTTTCCAGATCTGGGTCATCAAGTTCCACAGAACTGGTGGAAAGGTTTCTTCGGGCAGAGAACGACCTGTCAAAATCCACTGGGGAGAAAGAACTACTGGGACTTGTTCCTGAGAGTCCAAGTCTATCAAAATCATCAGAGAGATATGGGGAAGAAGGTGCTAAAAGCATTTTTTTCGCAATTCGAGGGCTTGCAGGAACACTAAGAGTTGAACTGACATAGGGATTACTCCCAGAGACAGAGTTTGCATGTGGTGAAACCCCTGAGCTGCAAGAAGAAAAATTCAGGTAATTATCAGCATCTAAAGCATTCTGAGGTAGATCTTTTTCTCCAAGTTTTTTCCTTTTACTATTACCCAGAGAGCTTCTGGGGGGCAAACTTAATGGCACCAGCTGGTTTTCTGCTGATTTATAAAGTCTGGGTAGGGAACGACTGTACACTCCCATATGACTTAGAGATCCACCAGAGTATTTCCTAGGCCGTGAACTCAGAGTTTCCATCATCACATCCTTGTACTTAACCGGCTTTATGTGAAGGGCCAGGCTGTTTTCAATATTCATTCTCCTACCCTGCTTTGGGCTAGAAGGCATGCTGGCTGCCCCTGAATTGCTAGCAGGTGAAAGCACCAGGTCATTCCCCGAGCTTCCATTCCACATAGTCAGAAGAGAGCCCGAGATCTTCTTTGTCTCCAGCATTCCTGGGAAGTAGACATTGTCATACGATTTGTTTTTCTGACTGTACTTCGAGTAATGGAACTTATCCATGTGTCCAAGGGATTTTTCATTCTCTCTGCTGGCATGAATATCAAAATCTGTCCTCCCTAAACCGTACCCACTGAGGGATGGAGACGTGCCTGATATGGAACCCAAATGCTTTACAGAGATGCTTTTATCTGGAAGATATGGGCCTTCACAGGGGAACTGTTTGCCTCCCTGAATTTTGTTAATAGAGTGTATATTTTTAACACTGCAAGAAGCATTAGGTTTAACTGGCATGGGTTGTGAAAGGGTTAAATAAGAGCCAGCATAGTCCCCATTTGTTTTAAATTTGAGAGTTGATGAGTATTTCTTCGTGTCGAGGTTTTCCATAATATCCTGGAGACCATTTTCAAGAGAATTCGCCACAGAACCCTTTCCCAAACTAGCATTTTGTAATTCCATCTGGTTTTGCGCGTGGCTATACTCTGCCATAATCTTGCTGGAATCTGTAAAGACGACAAAACAAGAAAAAAGTTTTTAACAAGCAAGTAGTCTCTTGCATGTGCATCCCTGCACATTAACTTGAAAAGAACACATTTTGTAACAATTGCTGTGCTTGTACTAAACACAGACCATTAAGCAAAGGAGGGGATGCACAATTTTGCCATCTTTTTTTGCAAAAAATGAGAGACTGAAAGGTGTAGAGGATAGGTATCGGTATAGCTAGGGTACTGAAAGGGTAGAAGGGGTAGAGGGACATCACCAAATCAGCAACACGGTTGGAAAGAGGCTAGACTCTTTCTTTGTTGTCCTATCCATTGCAGGAGTCTGTGGTTCAGCCTTTATAATCCTGAGCCTCTAAAGATGTCCATGAAGTAAGGAAGCATTACTATCCTGATGTTTTACAGCTGAAGAACTGAGGTACAGGGAGAAGATGCAAAGGACACAGCAAAGTACAGAAGTCAACACAAGTCTCACAGGCCAAAGGACATAAGACACTGCTCTGGATAACCTCTTCTTTTAGCCTGTGCACCTAGTGCATCCAAGCCCCCATATATTAATGAATTCAACTCAAAGCTCTGTAGGAGCTTGCCACCTTTCTGCTTACTCTGTGGATTGTCCTGCAAAGCTTAATGGGAAAGTACAAAATCAAGGCACGTTTTTCAAGGTGTTTCAGCTCACTGCTCTTGAGATACAAAGCTGTAACTACATTTGCAAAGAACACTTTGGTTAAAAGATAACCTTAAGGAAGTATAATGCTTGCTCCATGACTTCATTCAAAACAACAAAATGACATGACTATTAAAAACACTGATAGGGGCTTAACGCTTATTCAGAAGTATAATTTATATTCTGGAAGAGGGCAGACAGCAAAAAAGCCCTTGCTGCGGTGGATGTTATTGTTCAACAATGTGTCAAGTTCTAGCTTACAATTCTGAGCTCCACTTTGCCAAAGGCAAAGAGAGGAATTCAGCTCCTGACAGTGCCAGCCACTACAGGAGACAAACAGGACCCCCAGAAGGCTTTCACTTAGACCTCAGCTGATGTAGAAATGACACCATTAACATTTTACAGCAGCTCTTGGGATGTGCTACGCTGTGCTTTGAACTAATGAAGCACTCTTGGGTGTCAGTTTCTGCAATGCCAGAGAGCACTGCTTCTGAAAATAAGGGAAAAATCTGGGATTTACTCTTGCCTCGGTCACATTTCACCTGTGACTTCAGCCATCTCACGAGAAACCTAATTTCAGCTTGGGATTCCTGCCCCCCACCAGAGCTCATGCTGTATGATCTGGTTTCATTAATGATCACTAGGTTAGGTATCCAGTGGAAGGTGACAATCCATTCTTCACACAGGTCCTTGTTTCTGGACCCTTCCTTGCTAATAAGGCAAAACTCCATGGAATTCATTACTGTCCAAGGCATCAACAGACTTCTGTTGCACAGGCTTTCTCTACGTAAACTGCAGTAAGTCTCAGTGTATAACAACACATACTCCTCAGTTCTTAAGTATAAGACCAGTAAGTTTAAGAACAAAGGCAACCATCACTGATAATGGAATTGAACAGGCAGAAGATAAAAGGAGTCAGCATTACGGGACACATAACACACAAACCAAAATAAAATCAGACACTTTCTTGAGCATAGTGGACCTGCCTAAGCAGCTGTTAAGTTACAAGCTCTGTTAGTGGCCAAAAACATGAACTTGCACCTTCTAAAACTAAGCCTCAACTTTACTACTATACAGAATTTAATATTTTTATGCTGGTTGTGATTATGGGATTTTATTTGCTATAATTTTAACACATTTGTTGTGCTGATACAACTATCTAAGTTGCCTTTGAACAAGTGAGTTCCAAAGTTTTCTGTCAGAGCATCACCACTTTGAGCAGTGAAACTGCAGTTTCTTATAATATGACATATTACTTGACATTTTTTAGGTATTTTCACAACTTTTGATCAACAGCAATGATGAAGTAAAAATGAACAAAAAGAGGAATGTGACCCACATTCAACAGAACTCTTGTCAGGACAAGACAAAATCATCTGGGAAAATCATGCATTCATCATATTAGTGGTGTTTTAAGGAAGAAGAATGAGATGTAGAAGTTATTTAAGGGCACAGATATAAAGCACAATATACATGCCTTGTGTACTCAGCCTACCATTGTGGAACAGAACCTAATTTCCATCTTCCTAGCTCTCTCTCCTTTCCTCTTCCAAACCTCTCTTAAAACTGAATACTAATCTTGTATCAAATTTGTACTGTCTAAACCTAAACTTGAACACAGCTGGAGTTCAAATATTTTTTGCATAAACTCCACTGGCTCCTATATAAATAGCTTAGCAGACACATTAATGGGGCATTAATAATTGTTTATTATTCCCTTGCAACACCAGTAGGGCACATTTAATCCTACAAAGACTGGATGCCTTTGCCAAAAAACAAGCTAGTTCATGGAAACTTTCATGCCTGTTCACCACAGCAGTGAAGGGTTCATTGTACTTGAAATCCAAACAAGTACAGTAAGAAAAGGTCACGATACCTTCATGTAGCCACTCGAGTTCAACTTTTCTCTGCTATACCTTATGCCAGTTCTTCTGTGCTTTTGGTTCCAGCACCGCAGTGCCCGCAATCATACAGTTAAATCCCAACTGGATGATAGTGCATGTTTAGCTGAACTGTAGCTGCTTCCCACAAACTAGATCTTGTTTGTTTTGTTTATTTTTAGGGTAATGTTTGGGAAGAGACTTTATGAATATGCCAGGATATGTTACACATCCTGGCTGACACTGTCTCCATGTGCAGCTACAGAGACTGAGGCTGGGAGCTCCAGTCAGTGCGGTGCCCTGAACCCATCCTGCATCCAGGTCAGCCCCATCTTTCACTTGGTAACCTTCAGAGCACAGCACAAGGGTCCTCTGTTTAGCAAAGAATTCGCTGCCTGGAGCCACAGAAGGAAATTCTTCCATTTTGTAAAAATTTTTCTTTTTCACCCCCTTCATTCCTTTTCTTCCTTCCCCGAGCTGTTTAGCTGGGGGTCACTGATATCTATTCCAACCAGGCATTAAACTGATGGGGGAGGGTTGGCTGTCTGCAGTGTATCCAGCTGTGGCCTTGTTCTGCCCTGGTAAGTGGAGTTAGACATGGAGTAAGAACAGAGCGCTTATCTTATCCATGTGCCAGAAGAATTAAAGGACCAAAGTCAATTAGAAATTATGAAAGATCTCAGTACATTTACAAACAAACTTCATTTTAATCGATTACCTGATCCAACATTCTGAAAGGAGGAGAGGTTACTTCTGTTTGGCATCATATTCATCTTCTATAGGATGGTTAAAACAACACTAATTTAAGTGAACCAGATAAATTTTGACCTGCAAATAAAGAAAAAAACCCCAAACATTGTGTTAAGAAGTGTATTCTGAGAACATTTTTCAAGTGTATAATATAGACTACAATTTTCTTTTCTTACGGTAAAATTTCCAAACAATTCTTTTCATATGTTAAAAGATATTTGGAAGGGACAGTCCATGTTTATTGTGGAGGCTGTGAAAAAAAAACCCAAACCCACAACCTGTCTGCAGTTGGTTTATCAGTTTAAAAGTACATATAATTTGATTTGATAATCAGCTATTATCTATGATCCTGATTCTCTGCAGGCAGTTACTAGGTCACAGCTCCTGAGTTTTGTCTGTGATCCTGTGGCTTCCTTAAGAAATCATTAACGAGGCTGGACTTTGCTGCTGAAGACCTGATTTTTGCAAGCCCAAAGCTCAGTTTCAGCCCAGGCAACACCAGCATCCTGCAATCATGAATAATCCTATGAAAAACCAGGTGTGTGATCCAAAACACAATAAATGTTTTGGCATACAATGATTTCTGAGTTTCCAAAGAAGCCAGACTAGGAATGCAAAGAGATTCTTGAAAGCTTATTTTTAAAAAATTATCAAAATATTGATATGGCTACGAGAGACTAGACTTAAAAGAAGTGCCAAAATTAAATCCTAGCCACTAATGACTAAAATTAAATCTAAAATCAAATATCAGATCTCTAGAGAGTTGCTCTATTAAAAGACTTATTTATTTTTTTATACACACATCTGTTTATAAAGATTGACTAAAAAAATTTTTAATTGCATCAAGTGACAAAATTAATGGTGACCATCTGTAGGTCCTCTGGGCTTTAACTATGGACAAGCAAATAGAAACACGTCAGAAAAACAAGTGAAGAATGGAGACAGATGTCTGGGGCTGTCTAGAGACAAGCCACCTATTTAATTAACCGCAGTCATCACAGCCCCAAGGTTCCAGGCCTCTGGTGCACAGACTTTCTGTGCAATGCTTTTTCACATTATTCTCCTAGGGGGACAGCTCTGGGAGAAGGGCTGGCTGCTGAGCCTTGCAGAGTGAGGTTCTTCGCTTTGACCTCCGGATTCGCCCTCACCTGCTCCCTGCAAACTGCTCTCCCAAGGGGAACCAGTTCTTGTCCCTCTCCTCTGCTCCCCCAAGAATACCCCTGTGCTGGTTTCACTTTGCAGTGCTTTTTCTTTCTCTGCACAGGTCATTTCTCACTCCAAAGGAGTTTCCACCCCACTGGGCACCTCATCTCCCTCACACCAAGAGGTGGGTTTTCTCCAAGATCACACAATCCACTGTTCCCCCAAAACGGCACTGCTCTCCAAGGAGCCAGGGTGAGGAAGGAGACCACCAGAGCTCCACACCTCCTAAGGGGACTCACCCACCATGTCCACCCTCTCCAGCACTACAGGACTGAAATTCTTTGCAGCAGA